GAGAGAGAGAGAGAGAGAGAGAGAGAGAGAGAGAGAGAGAGAGAAAGAGAGAGAAAGATGTGTCCAGGCTATGTGCGCGCTCATGTACGCTCGCCAGACGCATTAACTGCGACTCACCGCGAGCTTCCTGCACCCGCAAGATTTCAGGTGCAAGTGCAGGTCAAGGGTGAGGGACGTGGGTCGAGTAACGGGTTGGTGGTTTAGATCGCGACGAGGTTAAAGAGAGTATGCTCGATGTTATACGCGATATTTTACGAAGTGCTTTAGAGTTTTTGCATTGTCGTGCTTTGTACAGTTGATTTTTGCAATTGTGTTAATTAATCGATGATAAATGGTCAAGGAAGTCTCAATTTGCTTAAAGTGCGACTACGCTCTCGATTCGAGAAATTATGCACAGTCCCTGCAAAGGTGGCGGTGAGGCGCGTCAACTATCGGCGCGTCGCACTTTTGGTGATCGATATTCAGGTGTGAACTCGTTAGGACTCGCGGTCAAAAGGTAATAGCGTAGAATCAGACAGAATCAGGAAAATAGAAGTTTGAGTATCAGAACGCGTTTAGAATATCTCGAAGAATGTCAGTCGCGAAGAGTTGCGGCACATATTGAAGACGTCACAATCCCCCTCTTGAGTCCACCTTTCATAATGATAATGATAATAATAATGATAATAATAATATCTCGACAGTTTATTTTATACAGTTATATTTGACAGTCACTTACACACACACATTACATTTATACAATAATTTATACATTTATACAATAATAATATTTTTAAAAAATAACGATTACGCGTTACGAGAATTCGAGGAACTATGATAAGCTTTCAAGGATAAACTCACAGGTTGGCGGCATAATATTCGCTCTATGCTCCGCATTGTTATACTGAGGGAAAAAAATGTTTGACCCAACTAAAATTATAAAATTATTTTTGGCGCCAACCATATTGTTTGGTAGATCTAACACGTAAATGGTAGTTGTAACATGCACACAAGCATTATTATCGCTAACATTATATTAGAATTTCACAAAAAAGCGGCTTTCTTGACCACAATTATTTCTCTATGTGATTATAGTTACAAATACCAAGCATTTTTTTCTCAATGCAATAGCAGTCGATTCGCAAGATGTGCGACAATGAGAAGGCTAACGAAGCAAAGGAGCGACGAGCAGGACGGATGATGCTCGGCGGTTTCCGCGGTCAATCACGAACAGCTATCTCTCGTGACATAAATTGACGAGCGTCGGGACCAAGTAACAGGTTGCTAGTTGCGGATTAGAACGGAGGTTTGTCTCGCGTCGCACTTGGCCGGACGCGAGCATACGATCGTAATTACGTCAGCGAGAGAGTCGGGCAATTCAGTAGCTGCTCGACGCGTACTGTAGTCGGGATCATGTCCGCTTCGACCATTCTGCGCTCTGTAATATCGCGTCTTTCTTGACGACGCGCTGCCGAATCCGCTTGAATTCATCTTTCCGTGAATCTGCTGTTTTCGAACGCGAATTTGCATAACAAGTTGGCGCACACGATTCGTTGCAGAACTTCTGAGAAGGTGACCGCGACATTCGTGTCGCGAAGCTCAGCGTAACAATGAGCGTAACAATTCGCCCCCCATCAGCGCATGAGCGCTATCCCTATAGTCGCGTAAATCCCTCTTCGGCTGGATCTGTTCCGAATCGAGTTGATCGCCATTTTAACAAATATCGCACAAATACATTAAATGAATATTGCATGTGTACGCTTACGTTCCATATTAATGTGATAAATGGGTGTATTTTACTCTCTAGATATATACAGGATATTATCTTTTTTCTGTCCATTAAATAGCACTAAAGCTTTTTTATGGTAAGCTGAATCGAAAAGTCCTGAGCTATTTTATCAAAACAAGTTCTTATTTATAGTAACTTTTCAACATTTAATATAACATATCTTTAATTTAGCTAAGCCCTAAATTAAAAATCTATTCAAATGAAATCCGCTTGAAGTTAATGGAAGAAAATAGATTTATTATCCACTTAGTCGTCCGAGACATAGTTTGCGAAAAATCTTGTTTTTTTGGTCGCTTGTACTTCGTAAACCGATATCTCGACATTTTTATTCGGTACTTTTCAATTTAAATTTTCACGAGGAATGATGCTATATATTTAGTGGGCGAAGGAAAGATAACACCCTGTATATATATATATATATATATATAAAATCCATTGCAGTTTGTTTATAGTATGCGGATGTAAACGGAACTTATGTTCCCGCGTTACAGCGTAACTCATGAGCGAAATAATTATTGCAGGAATAATTACTTTTAATTCTAAAGTGGAAAATCGATACTTTAATTGCCGGACCAGAATATTACTTTGCGCGAATTTATATATGACACAATTACAACCATTTTTCGTTTTATTCACGATGCAATTCTCTTTTCAGATATTCAATCATGCGCGAATAGAGAGAGAGAGTGTGTGTGAGAGAGTAAGAGAATTTTAGTTTCAACTTCCCTACATCTAGATAAAACCATTTTTAACGCGTCGAACATGCGAACGTCGTACGACACTAGGAAACTTTTCTTGTTCCCTACAATATTTTATTACGACACTTTAGTCTTTATTGCGACGACGTAAGAAGCGGAACTTCTTTACGAGATCCTCTGCAATTATGGCGGGAGAGCAGAACGGGAGTTACCTAACTTGCAAGATGTACGCCACGATACGATATCGCGATAGTGCGAGTATGATTTTAATACCGCCGTCTTTCGCTTAAATTTCTCCCGATTCTGAATAACGAGGGCGCGCGCCTCACGCGCTCCCTATCGCACATTCTCCGGGCATCTTTCAGCAAACGAAGCGGATTTCGATAGTAGTCGGGCAAAGCCGATAACGCAATATGGCTCCCGATGCGGATAGACTGTTTCGCGACGGAATATTGCGCGACGGCCTGCGTCTTTCGGATTTGCTCACTCGCGGGACGATATCCTCACGAGATGGAGCTTCCGTCGATCGATGCTTCCATTCCAATCGAGCTCTGTGCGAGCGAATTAGATAAAAGCGCAATTAACGAAATTTCGTCAAACACGATATCTGCGCCCGTTGAAAAATCACATTCTCGTGATTTTAATTGGAACGTCAATCACGCAAACCTGTGTGAAAATGACTGTCGGTCATTTTGAAACAAGAATCCGAAAAACCACAGTTCGCGATCGTCGGACAATAGCCGGCCTCGAGCTAACGAGCGCGCCAGTCGGCTATTCGCCAGCGCTTTTCATTCCGCGTGTGCTTAACATGGAACACTGCGATGTCGAGTATTTAATTTGCTTGTTCACGATTGCGCCTCATAAACCGTGATCCTTGCATAAAACGCCGTGAATATTTGGTTAAGTTGTCGACAGCGCACTGATTTTTGCCGCAACAGAGTATCGTTGCCCGACACCGTTCGCGTTACTTTGCACAACAATCCGCAAATTTGTTCATCACCGGCGATATTGATCAAAGAGAGAGAGAGAGAGAGGGAGAGAGAGAGAGAGAAAGCGCCGCTGGCCGTACAGAATACTTAACTATGTCGAAACGCAAAAGTTGCGTTATTAGCTCTATCGTGGTCAAATTTTCGAGGCGGCTGCTCTCGTTGGAGAAGTCAATAAACGACTGTAATAAGCGTTAACGCGCACCATTTTGTGGTCATCGAGAATCAATAACTCAACGAAGAGCAGAGCTCAGCCCTTCGGGCGAGATGCCAACGAGCCAGCAACGAGAGGCATGATAACGCGCGCGTGCCGTGAAGCTTGAGTTACCGTCTTTTCTCATCTCGCAAATTGCCTTTCACCGTCGCGATCCGCTTGAGAACTCGCCGTTCACCTGTACCCTCGGGATTGCGCGAGCGGAACTTCACAGGAATTCCCGTCGACCTGAAAAGCGACTTTGCTAAC